CTTTGTCGAGGCAGGCTAACGTCTTACCCCTACTTATTCCATACGTTTATGGATAGAAAGCCTGGCTGGGCAAGGCTGGGCAGGGGCAGGCTCAGGCAACGGCGGGGCGCTTGAATTCACTGGAAAAGCCACATCGCCGGACACTGGAGGGCACCATTGAATTTGTTAACACTTCCACAGCCAAAGAAGCTGCGAAAGGCGTTGGCCAGGATTTCTCCCAAGGACTTTTCACGAGATTTCATGTCCTCGAGGTCAACATAACGGGCAACCAAAAGAATACAGGCCGTCGAGCGTGCCAGACTTCTGAAGTCGCCAGTGTCGATGTACAAACCTTGCCGCAATCCGGTGAGAACTGCAATGCCACATCTCACAAGAAACGGATCAGGACGGACGCTGTATCGGGAATAATCATTGCCAATGGAACTAGAACGAAAGGGAGACTGGGGAGTCGCCGATGTTAAAGTTCAAGTTGATTGGTTAAGTGGAAGCAAGGGCAATGAGAATGTGATCTATTGAGTTGTTCTGCGTTAGCTTCCAGTCTTTCAGCAAGGTCAGTGAGAATTTGGTCTATTGAGTTGTTCTGCCTTAGCTTCCAGTCTTTCATATTCAGCTATTGCTTCTGGGTCTGCCTTGATAGCTTCAAAATCACAGTGGGTCAAGTACACCTGTTCGAGATCCTTTCTTCTATTCAATACCACATATGCTTGTCCGTCAGAGAAGATGTTAGAATTCAAGACGACGGTAACAGCTGGCAGTGACAGGCCTTGAACCTTATGGATTGTCAACGCAAATGCATTGATGATTGGAAGCTGTACACGTTTGTATTCCACCCCATTTGTCTGGAAATACGACGGGGTTTTGTGCAACTGCATGACCTACCTGTACTACATTAGCTGCTTCGAGTGCCTCTAAGCTTCAACGGTAGGGCCAAGATGTAAAAACTTTGTTGCAATATTCACAACTTAATATCACGTGTAACATCATGTGTAGACCCGCAATAGGGTGAGACACCATGGATAGATATCGTGACTACCAACGCTCCCTTCATTTCCTCCCTTGAATAGAAGATAGACTGAATTGATTATTACACCCCAGGCATCGTGACTATCAACGCTCCCTTCATTTCCTCCCTTGAATAGAAGATAGACTGAATTGATTATTACACCCCTGTTGCAGTACTGCATCCCCAATTGCCTTGTGATCCCAACAAACTTACTTGGATACCATCTTTAGTGGGAAATGCTGCCTCAACTTCGTCGTCGGGCAACAAATTAGTAATAACACCAATAGAGCCGTTAGAGATCCCTCTCTCGCTGAGCATGCTGTTTGTGAGAAAAATGACTTTGGTCCCAACAGTACACACCACGGAGGATGCAAAGTTTGTCCCCGTATTGAATACTTTCGAGTGCTCTGAATGCTGTAACCTTACTCCGTTTTCGAAATCCTCGGCTTTTGAAACAAAAACGAGGTTCTCTAATGGCATGCCGGAGAGAACGGCATGGTTTAGTGCTGCAGCCTCGTCGACGAAGATAGGGTTCTCTGATGGCATGCCGGAGAGAACCGCATGGTTTAATGCCGCAGCTTCATCACGAAGGGAAGACAGGTACGTGGTATTCCACATGACATGTTGTGGATTATATTGGCGCCATCGTTCTTCCAGAGTGCATCTTACCTCGTCATCGATGATTCCAAACCGAATCTTGTTTAAGATTCTGAAGAACTTGTCGTTTATCTACCGTAGCGGTTATCGTAGGAAGATAGGATAGAAGAGCTTCCAAACAGAGGCCTTAAAGACCTTCAAACCCTCCGCGGGGGGTAATTGCATCAAGTCCCTAAAGACGATGGCATGCATGTTGCCGAGGGGCCTGTTATTTCTTCTCAGTTTGGTGAAAAGGGAGGCGAGGTAGTCAAGCAGTACGCCATCTACCATCGATACTTCGTCGATAATGAGCACGGTTTTCTTTTCTATGTCTTTCTTTTTTTTTGATCTTCACTTCGTCGATAATAAGCACCGTTTTCTTTTCTATGTCTTTCTTTTTTTGATCTTCGAACCTAAATAAGCCCGTGTGGTAGGCGCTTCGATGGCTATAGACTGACAGAGCCGAGTGGATTGTATTCCCATCAATATTTCTTGCCGCAATTCCAGTAGGCGCAAGCAGTAAGGCAGGGTTCCGGGATTTATCGCACCAATACTGCAGGGCACGCAGGAGGAAAGATTTCCCCGTCCCACCAGGCCCTGTTACAAAGAACATACGGCCTTGATGCCTAGATGCAGAAATATTCTGTGTTACCATACTGTAGCACTGATATTGCTCCCATGTCGGATTTTATGGGATTTTCCATGTGACAGCCCTTGGGAGCAGCATGAGTGTGTCGACTTTTTTTATGTATGTATGTATGTATGTGT